TCTCTGTGTCTCTCTTAACTCTTTCCCTATCGCTTTCAAATAAATAAAATAGTAAAAAAAATTTTTTTTAAACTTTTATGTGTAGTACCGACATACAAACATATAAATCAATAGATAGGGCACCTAAAAATAAACCCTCATATATATACAGTGAACTTTTTTTTTTATTATTTGACAGGTAGAGTTATAGACAGTGAGAGAGAGACAGAGAGAAAGGTCTTCCTTCCGTTGGTTCACTCCCCGAATGGCTGCTACGGCCGGCACTGCGCCAATCCGAAACCAGGAGCCAAGTGCTTCCTCCTGGTCTCCTATGAGGGTGCAGGGCCCAAGCACTTGGGCCATCCTTCACTGCACTCCCGGGCCACAGCAGAGAGCTGGACTGGAAGAGGAGCAACTGGGACTAGAACCCAGCATCCATATGGGATTCCAGCGCCCCAGGCGGAGGATTAACCAAGTGAGCCACGGCGTCGGTTTTTGACAAGGGTGACAAGACCACTCATTAGTGAAAAGACAGTCATTAAAAAAAGGATGTTGAGAAAGCTGAATATCCACATATGAAAGAATGAAGTTGGGCCATTACCTAATAACAAATACAAAAATCAACTCAAAATGGATCAAAATTCTAAACATAAGAGCTAATACTATAAAATTCTTAGAGGAAAACCTTGAGAGGCCAGCACCACAGGAGAGGCCAGCACCATGGCGTAGTGGGTAAAGCTACTGCCTGCAGTGCCGGCATCCCATATGGGCGCCAGTTCTAGTCCTGGCTGCTCTGCTTCCAATCCAGCTCTCTGCTATGGCCTGGGAAAGCAGTAGAAGATGGCCCAAGTCCTTGGGCCCCTGCACCCACGTGGGAGACCCAGAAGAAACTCCAGGCTCCTGGCTTCGGATCAGCTCAGTTCAGCCAACTGGGGAGTGATTCAGAGGATGGAAGACCTCTCTCTCTGCCTTTCAAATAAATAATCTTAAAAAAAAAAAAAAAAGGAAGACACTGGGGCCAGTGATGTGAAGTAACAGGTACCTGTGGCACCAGCATCCCACATGGGCAGTGGTTCAAGTCCTGGCTACTCTACTCATGATCCAGCTGCCTGTTATGTGTCTGGGAAAGCAGTGGAGGATGCTCCAGTGCTTGGGCTTCTGGGAGACCCAGCAGAAATTCCTGGCTTCCACCTCCAGCCGCTCCAGCTGTTGAGGCCATTTGGAGAGTAAACAGCGGATGGAAGATCTCTCTCTCTTTCTCTGTCTCTTCTCTCTCTCCCCCTCTATAACTCTGCCTTTTGAATAAAATAATTATTAAAAAAAAAGACATTATCGGGCCAGCACCGCGGCTCACTAGGCTAATCCTCCGCCTAGCGGCGCCGGCACACCAGGTTCTAGTCCCGGTCGGGGCGCCGGATTCTGTCCCGGTTGCCCCTCTTCCAGGCCAGCTCTCTGCTGTGGCCAGGGAGTGCAGCGGAGGATGGCCCAGGTACTTGGGCCCTGCACCCCATGAGAGACCAGGAAAAGCACCTGGCTCCTGGCTCCTGCCATCGGATCAGCGCGGTGCGCCGGCCGCAGCGCGCCGGCCGCGGCGGCCATTGGAGGGTGAACCAACGGCAAAGGAAGACCTTTCTCTCTGTCTCTCTCTCTCACTGTCCACTCTCCTTGGTTTGGTGAAGAAAAAAAAAAAAAAAAAAAAAAAGACATTATCAGGTATTTATACATCACATTTCTGAGAAGGTGTAAATATCCAGAACTCCATGGAGCCAGCACTGTGGTGCAGCGGGTTAATGCTCTGGCCTGAAGTGCCAGCATCCCATATGGGCTGCTGGTTGGAGACCCGGCTGCTCCACTTCCAATCCAGCTCCCTGCTATGGCCTGGGAAAGCACTGGAAGATGGCCCAAGTCCTTGGGCCCCTGCACCCTTGTGGGAGACCAGGAAGAGGCTTCTGGCTCCTGGCTTTGGATCGGTGCAGCTCTGGCCATTGTGGCCAATTGGGGAGTGAACCAGCAGATGGAAAATTCTCTCTCTCTCTCTCTCTGCCTCTCCTCTCTCTGTGTAACTGTGACTTTCAAATAAATAAATAAATAAATAAATCTTAAAAAAAAAAAAAAAAAGAACTCCACAACAACAAATACAGAAGTCCCAAACAACTACATTAAAATACGGGCAACAATCTAAACATGGGAGCATGGGCAGGAGGGAGGGTAGGGTGGGGTGGAAAGTATCACTATGCTCCTAAACCTGTATGTATGAAATACATGAAATGTGTATACCTTAAATAAAATAACATAAAATAAAGAATCTAAACAGACCTCTCAAAGGGAGATAAACAAATGGCCACAAACATAAGAAGACGCTCAACATCACTAGCATGAAGGAAATAAAATCAAAATCACAATGAGATACCAATTCACACACACCAGGATGGGTATAATTGAAAAAGAAGGAACAGAACAAGTGCTGGGGAGGACAGAGAAACTGGAATGCTTGTGCACTGCTGCTGGGAATGTAAAACGTCCAGCAGCACGGGGGTTCCTCAAAGATAGACAGAGACTTCCTAAACGACCCAGCGACTGTGCTTCTGCTACATACTCTAAATAATTCAAAGCAGACTCAGAGAGAATTTGTGCCTCCATGTTTCCAGCGGCGTCAGTCACAACAGTCAGAAGGCAGCAGCGCCCCAAGTGCTGATGTCAACGGGTGACGGGATAAAGAAAATGTGGAACATAAATGCAATGAAATGTCCTGAAGAGAAATGACATTCTGATACTCGCTATAACATGGACAAATCCTGAAGACATTAGTCTAAGTGAAATCAGCCAGTCACAGCAGGACAAACACCACACGGTTTTACTTACAGAAAGGACCCAGAGTGGTCAAAGTCAGAGTCAGCAAGCAGCATGGTGGCTGCCAGGGGCTGGGGGGAGGAAGGCTGGAGAGCTACTGTTTAATGCATGCAAAGGTTCTGCTTGGGATTACGAAAAATTTCTGGAAATAGATTGTGCTATGGTTATACAACAATGTGGATGTACTTAGTGCCATTCAACTGTATACTTAAAATGGTTAAAATGACAAATTTTATGTCTATTTACCACAATTAAAGAGATTTACCACAGGAAGAAAAGGCAGGCATTTAGCTTTGCTGTTAAGCCTATTAAGCTTTCCACCCACTTCTCTTTTTTTTTGGACAAGCAGAGTTAGACAGTTTGAGAGAAAGAGACAGAGAGAAAGGTCTTCCTTCCGTTGGTTCATCCCCCAAATGGCCACTACGGCTGGCGCGCTGCACCAATCTGAAACCAGGAGCCAGGTGCTTTTCCTGGTCTCCCATGGGGTGCAGGGCCCAAGCACTTGGGCCATCCTCCACTGCACTCCCGGGCCACAGCAGAGAGCTGGCCTGGAAGAGGAGCAACTGGGACAGAATCCGGCGCCCCAACCGGGACTAGAACTTGGGGTGCCAGTGCCGCAGGAGGAGGACTAGCCAAGTGAGCTGCGGCGCCGGTCACCACCCACTTCTGAGTGCCGGGGTTCAATACTAAGTTCTGGCTTCTCACTCCAGCTTCCCATGTGGACTCTGGGAGGCAGAGGTGATGGCTCACGTAACTGAGCTCCTGCCATGAGGGAGACCTGGACTGAGTTCCCAGCTCCCAGCTTTGGCTCTGGCCCAGTCCCAGCCACTGCAGGCATCAGGGGAGGGAACCAGCTGGAAGGCTCTGCTTCTCTGCTTCCCCTAAAAAGCCTGAAACTAACAACCAGGCTCTCCTTCCAGCCCACTAAAGGTCAGTTCTTCTGATGGCCTGGCACACTGCTCCCAAGGAAATGGGCTCTAAGGATGCTGTTTTCTCTCTCATATTGTGACCTCAAACCCAGCCCCATTAATCTGATCCCTACATCCAGGCAAATGGCACAGGTGGACTAGCCACTGCATGAGAGGTTGAGGCTTGAGCTTCCTTGGCTGCCGTGTGGGGGATGACTGACAGGTTCCTCAGGCTGCCAACGAAAGCAGAAGCTGACCTGGCCAACTTTCCCTCTGTTACTTCCCCCTTTGCTTCTCACAGGACAGCAGACAGCCGCGCACACAGGAAAACAGGAGCCAGACTGAAAGCCAGTGTGTTGCAGTAGGAAAGTCGAGCGATCGCTTTCCCCACCCTCGGCTCCTCTAGATATTTAACATTCTTTGTCCAGTGAAGGGCACAGCTTTCACCGGTCCAACGACCTCCGCCCTCTACGGGTATCTGGGGCCCCTTCATATGGATAATCCTGTTACATCTCAAAGCAACAGTGAGAAGCAATGTGGCGGGTGTATTGGAGACGGGACGAAACCCAGGCTCGGGGAGTCAACTGCCCCACCTCTCCCAAGAGACAGGGCCAGAGCGTGCACACAGGTAGTGAACATTCTTCCTCGCCATTATTTCGTAAAGATGAATAAAGTAGAAATGCAATCGGATCACTCTGGGAGCAAATAAGCAACCATCAAGTGCTCCATATTTGGCAATTAAAGGATTAGCAGGTCCATCCCCAGAGAAGCAGTATGACGAAAAAAAGAAAAAAAAGCGCCTTCTTCGCCTGCGGTTCACCCGGACTCGGAAACCGGTCTTTGGGATTTCTCCGCTGCACGACTCCAGCAGAGTCCCTGCTGCCCCGCGCGAGGCGCGCTGGCGGACTGAGGGGAAATCAAGCGTGGCGGTGAACCGCCGGCCAGGCCCTGGGGAAACGGAACCGCCGGCTAACCCAACAAACAGCTCCAACGAGCAACGACCCTAGCAACAACCGGAGCCGAAACGACAGGGACGCCGAAAACACCGCACATGCGCAACGAGCGTACCAGCTCTGAGGCATCCCCACGCCCCGCAGCGCCAGACTCGGTGGGCGGGCACTGTTTTCCCGCGCGTGCGTCAGTCCTCCCACGCATGCGCACCGTCGGCAGCAGTCTTTCCCTCAGAGTCCCTTGCCCTCCAGCCCCCTTCCGGCCCCTGAACGTTGACTGCTTGAGCTGCGGCCCTCATTTCGCATTTCTCACCTTACGCCCGGTTTTCTCCCGCAGGGCCCTCAGCCTCTCCTTCCGCCGCAGAGCCTCCTCCTCCAGCCGGCCCACACCGGCCGCAGCCGCCGCCATGTTGCCTACCGACCCCCTCCTTTTCTGTCGTGATGTGTCGCGCTGACCTAAGGAAAGTAGATGAGTGTCTCGCGGCCAATCCGAGGGCGAGAATAAGGGAGCCGGAAGTGTGGCAGGCCAATCAATGCTTAGTTGCTACGGGAGGGCCCGCCCCGCTCCCGCCGCGCCCCCGCCGCGCCCCCGCCCTTTTCCTCACAAGCAGCTCGGCTAGCCCACGGGGTACCGGCCAGGGGAGAAAGAAGATGCTAAGGCTCAAGTGTCCAACTCTAATCAGTGAGAAAACAGCAAATCGACTCAGACCTGAGGGGCGGAGCCTAGCGTGCGTCGATCTCTTGGGTTTTGCCTGAGCACTTAATCACGGCTCACCTCATGCCGGCCTCTTGGAGTGCCCTGACCCATCCTTGTGCACTTGTCCTGAATCTTCAGGGCTCCAGTGCCTTCCAGAAGCTTTCCTTGACTCCACTCCGATCCCACCCTAACCTGAGGTCAGTCTCTTCCCTCCTCTGCTGCTGTCAGTGGCTCCTCGGACTCGCCTCACCAAGTACCCTAAGCCCGTCTGTGGCCATCACTGTCGCTCGAAGCCTGCAGCGTGGACGGCGGTTTCCCTCCGGGGTTCACAGATGATACCCTGTCACCCCCACCGCCTCCTGGAGAGGCAGAGTACCCGGGGCAGGCTGCCTTCCCTGGGAAGAGCAAACTGCAACAAGACCCAGTTAGCCCCAAGGAGCCACCTCAACCCCCACCCCCACCCCCAGCTTAGGGAAAGTCGGTTGGGCCTCGACTGGAGCAAGTGCATGGCCACAGGTGTCTGGCTCCCCGGCGTCTTCTCTCTACATTAGTCAGTGCGGCCTGATAACAGACCACATCAGCTGTGGTCAAGAACTGTGAGCCCGGCAGGGTCCTCAGAGCCACACCCACAGGGGACGACTAGCCTCTTAGCAAATCTGCGGCCTCCCTTATCAGGCCGGCTGCAAGCAGTTGTTCGGGCCTCCCATCCCAAGTCCCATGGCCCACAGACCCCCGTCTTGACTTCATGAACCTGCATCTGTCTAGGCCCTGTCTCCTGCCATGGGGGCAGTGCTCTGCCAAGGCCTGGCACACAGCTTGTGGCCGCTTAGGGACTGTCAGCTCAGAGCCGGGATGCGCCAAAGGCCAGGCCGAAGGAGCCACCCGAGAGGCCAGGAGAGGAGACAGGGTCTGTCTTCTCTCGGCCACCCAAGATCTAACGGACCGTAGGTCTGCCAATTCCTAGGACTAATGGCCGAGAAACTTCCATCCGCCCTCCCTCAACAAAGAACCTGACCCCCGCTCAACACCGGGGGCCTCCTCACTTCACAGGCAGCCTGGGCCCAAGCAAAGAGTCAGTCAGGCCTGTGTCCCCATCCCAGCTGCCTCTGGCGGCCAACCTGGTCGTCTTTCGGCCTGTCTCAGTATCTCTACGGACACGGAGGCACGAGGCACCCCCCCCCCCATGAGGTTAACAAAAGAAGTCAGGCAAGGGCTGGGCCCTGGCGTGGGGGTGGGGGTGGGGGGGCACCTCCAGGAGGAGGGGACCTTGCCCTCTGTCCTTGGACAGAGCCCCCCAGAGGCATTCCCGGCTTATCCTGCCGCTTTTCTCTGCTCTTCCTCATCCGCTCTGCAAACAGCAGGAGCTCAGAAGCAGCCTTAGAAGAACGCCTGGCACGCGTGGTAAGCAGCCAGCGATTCTCACGAGGGAGGTTATTATGGGCCCCAGACCCTGTCCCCAGCCCTGTCGCCGAATGCCGGTAACCTCAGCTCTCTGGTACAGGCAGATCCGACCCCATGTCCCAGGGTCTCCGAAACGCCTCTCCACAGCCACTCGTGGGGGCGCGGCCCGCGGGGAGAGGGGGGCGGGGCGCCCTCGCGTCCCCTCCCGGATCTCAGGCTCCTCCTCCCGCTGGGCTCCCCGCCCTTTTCACGGTCCCAGGAGAGGCGGGGCGGCGGTGGCGGCCGCGGCGGCGAAGTGCAGGAAGCCGAGCGGGGGGCGGGGGGGAGGAGGAGGAGGGTGTCGGCTTGGGTGGCTCAGTGCGGCGCGGACTAGAGCCGTGAACTTCCCCAGCAGGACCGCGCTGCTCCTCCCCGGAGTGACGCCCTCCGCCCATGGGCCTGGCCGGGGGCAACCGGCGGGCGGCGCGGAGGAGGCGGCGACAGGTGGCGCGCAGCTGGGCCGGAGCCGGGTCAGGCCATGGCCGCCTCCGAGCGGCTCTACGAGTTGTGGCTGCTCTACTATGCGCAGGTGAGCCAGCCCCGCGCAGCGCTCGCTGTGCCCCCAAAGCTCCGCGCGGCCCGCGCCTGCTGCACCTGCGCCCCGCGCTGCCGGGGCTGCGCCTATGAAAGCTGGGTGTGCTCCGGCTCCGCACACACACGTGCGTGTCCCCTGCCGGCCGCTCTGGCGCTTAAACTGGGCGGGGGGGGGGAAGGGGGGCGCGGTGCGCAGTACTCACAGGTGTGCACTTTTACAGCAACGGCTACAGCAAGACCGCACATCCTGAGTCTTGCAGGGAGAGGGGCATCGCTGAGGCATTTACAGAGGGGGAAACTGAGGCTTGGAGCCAAAAGAGCCGTCTGAATTGAAGGGGGGGGTGGAGTACTCAGTTTGCCTGTGGGCTGCTCCTGCTGTGGACACAGCCGGTTGAGGGGTGGTGGCCATCGGGCCAACTGGGCTGGAGGTCTGAGCAGGCACAGGTCTGACCTGAGTCACGAGTCCCCAGAGAACTGGTGGTCATAGGCTCCTCCTGGAGTGGAGGTAGCCCCACCCCTCTCCCATTCTGGGGTGGGGCGTGCTGGGGGGGTTGAGGCAGGAGAGATGTCTGAGAGGGATGGAGGGAGGCCATTGCCTCTGGGCTCCCTAGCTCGCTCTCAGAGACTACTTCAGGAGGCCTCAGAAGCAGAGGGGAGTGGCCCTGACCCTGGCGTCCCTTGAGCTCTGTCCCCACACATAGGCCCCCACTTTCCCTCGGCAGCCACGCCTCCCTCCCTGCACCTGCCTGGCATCGTGCTGCTGGCTCAGGTGTGCCCTGGGCACAATGGGCCATTGTGTGCCCCTGAGCAGCTTCTCACCGAGAGGAAGTTAACGTTCAGCCCAGCTGGCCCTCCTGAAGAGGCTGCCCAACGGTCTCTGAGGCACCTGTGGCTCAGGCCATGGGAGCCACAGCCTCTTTGGTTGGCCCAGGTCGTGGGCTGCCCAGACCCCCAGCAGGAGGCAGGCCTGGTGTAGCAGAGTCCCTCTTCGGGGAGACCCACATCAAGCTCTTTGCAGTTCTGAGCCCCTACTTCCCTGACTGTGAAATTGACACAGTCTTGATCTGAACAAAGTGGGTAACACTTGGACTTGCCGCTGCGGCCAACTCAGGCCAGAGAAGGCTCCTGCTTGCCTGTTCCCATTGAGTCCTCTAATCTGGAAAGAACAAAAGGTCTAGAGGGAGGCTACTCCTGCCCTCATACCTCTGATTGCCTGTGGCTGTGGCATGTTCTTGGCTTAAGCCACGTGATGAGTCTGAGGGATGTTCCTGGTAGGTCTTCAGGCTGGGGAGTAGGCTGTTGGGGTTGTCTGGGTACAGTCTCCCAGCACACCCCCCAGGACCATGGCCTCCCGATGCCCCCCGGAGCACCCCATCCTCTCTAGGTGTTCAGCATTCATGTGTGCTGAGGCTGCCTTCCCCTGCCTGCACACCTCCCAGGACAGGTATGGGGGCACAGGCTGGAAGCCTGGGCAGGCAGGGGGCAGCCCGGGGCCAGGCAAACAAATCCAGGATGTAAGAGCAAACTCGGGATCCGGGCGGGGCCAGGCCGCCCGGGGAGAGGAAGCGCTGGTCAGCCTCCCCACGCTGCCTTCCTGCCCGCCTGGAACAGAACAGCTTCCCCACCCCTGTGTGCTGCACTCCCAGGGAGGGTAGCACCAGGCAACTTTGAATCCTACCAAGAGACCTGTTGTGGGGAAGGGGGAAGTGCAAAGTTAGGGTGTAGACAGTGCAAAGTAGAGGTGTTGAGACCCCTGAATTGGCCTGGCACCCAGCCAGCAGCACCTGCACCCCTCCCTTCAGCAGTGAGAGCTGACATCAGCTGGCAAACCTGTTTCCCCAGTTGTGGGTCTAGGTGAGGACAGAGGGGGAAGCACCCCCTTCCTGCCCTTCCTTTCTCCCTAAAAACCCTCACTTCAGACCCGCCCACCCCCTGAGCTGTGGGCCCTGCGCAATGAGGGGAGGGAGTGTGCTGCTGGTGGCTACTGAGGGAGGGAGGAGGGGAAGGCAGAAGGAAGGGCCAGTGTGGCCCTGGGTTGGAGCCCCTCAGTGCCACAGCAGAGAAACCAAGGCAGGGTCCTACCAAGGTCTTCCAGAGAGCTCCCGTATCCAGGGCAGGGTTTAGCCTGGCAGGTAGAAGCCTCAGGAAGGTCTGTACAGCACAGGCTGTTGTCTGCCTCATTCATCTGTGCCCCACAGCCCATACCAGACCTCGGCGCAGCCCCGTCCCTGTTTTAACCTTCACTGTGCTCGCTGCTCTGCTGCTCTGGCCACCTCACAGTCAGTAGGTGTTCACTGGGGTTAGCTGAGTGACCGGATGGCAGAGATAGGCCCGCAGTAATGACCGATGCAGGAAGTCCTCCCAGAGGAGGCAGAGCTTGCTCCCGTCCTCCGTGGGACGTGAGCAGCAGGAACAAGCACATAGCCATGGTGAGAACAAGAAGCAAGTTGTCAGGAGCGGGGGCCAACACAGAGGTAGACAAGGAGGAGTGGTGGCTGGCCAGTGGCACAGCCAGAGGACTCTGAACCCACCCCTGCTTCCCCAGGGAGAGCCTGTGAGGGTAAGGGGACTGGGACAGCACCTGCCAGGCTGGCAGTTGGGCTGTGTGTAAAAGTTAATGCAAAATAGCATGTACACGAGTGACCCCTTTGCAGACAGGAGTAGTGATATTGTTCACACAACCCCTCAGTGAAAGGGGGACACTAAGGGCTGAGAGGCACTCAGGGTCACAAAGGTCAGGTCAAGGCACACACTCAGGTCCCAGGTGAAGGTCAGCTCTCCAGTGATGCCATCACGATGGATTCAGGATTCCAAGGGGGATCATTAGCCCTGACCTGTGAGTTCTGCTGCCTCAAGGAAACCTGGCCTGGCCCTCTGTTTTCTCTGGGACCTTAGCTGAGCTATATTCTTTCCTGAGCCTCAGTTTACCCTCTTGAAATGGTTAAGGGAAGAGTGGAGTAGCCACCTGTGTGCTTGGTCTCCCTCAGCCTCTCAGAGGGCCAACCAGTGTCTCCCTCCCAAGCCTCTGTTACCAAAGCAACTGAAAGAGGAGGTACTGAGGTGATGGGGAGATTAGCAGGAAGCCCAGGGTTGGGGAAGGGGCTGGTAATCCCTGGAGTTGTTATGGCAACTGAGGAGCTGATGGGAAGTGCATTGTCCCCATGGAAACAGGGTCAGTTCCTATAGGGACCCTGGAAGGAAAATCCCCGTTTCCATAGTGACAGGACAGGAGATGGTTAAGCCCTAGGGGGTGTTATGGAGACCAGCAGGTCTACCCCTTTCAGTGCCCCCTCTCCAGGTGACAGGGAGAGGCTGGGCCAACTACCCAGGCACCCACCCCTTTCCAGGTCCCCATCTTCTTGCTTCAACTCTGGGCCTGAAATCCTCAAGTCTGACCGCCAGTCTTCATGATGTGGCCCTGTCTTCACATTGTCCTCCTCCTGATGCTGGGTAGGGAGACCCCATAGGCCTGGGAGATGCCATCTTAAGCAGACACTACCCCACTGTCCTATTTCTGCTTGTCTGTACCTGGAGATGAGGTGCTCTCTACCGCTCAGGCAGCTCTTAGTGAGAAGAATGGCACTACTGAGCAGTGATCTTCTCACACTTCTTGCTCTAGTTCTTCCCTGTGGGACTGTGTAAAAGGTACAGGCTGCTGCGCCTGCCTGGGGCAGCCAGCTAGGGAGTGGCCTTCAAGCCCCTGGTTTGAGTTACCACTTTGCCTTACCTATTGCTGGGTAGGTGTTGTTGATCATTTTATTTATTTATTTGAGAGATAGAGCTCCCACCCATTGTTTCACTCCCCTAAATGCCTTTAATGGCCTTTGGTGAAGACTGGAGCCAGGATCTAGGGACTCAATTTAGATCTCCCACATGAGTGGTAGGAACTCAGTCACTTGAGCTGTCACCACCACCTCCAGATGGGGCGGGGGGTGCATTAGATAGAAGCTGCATTGAGGAGGGAAGCTGGGATTCAAACCCAGGCGCTGCGATGTGGGTTGCAGGTGCCTTAACCACTAGGCCAAATGCCCACCCCAAAGGCATGATTTTAAAGAGGAAGTCGAGGCTCAAAGAGGTTACTGTTAAGTAACAAGCTGGACAGTTCCCATGCCTTCAACCGCTGAGGCACCAGCCAAAGGTGGGTGTTGGGAAAAGGACTAACCCCAGTGGGAGCCATTTTGGCAGAGAAAACATGGGGCAGAAAGCCTGCAGACCTGTGGGCGTGGCAATAGCCCGTGATGCCCTTGGCTTCTGAGTGCCAAGGCTAGAGATGAAGTGGGTACCATCCATGCAGGGCCTTGGTTTGGAGGGAGGCTGTGTGGACTCTGGCTGCTTGGTAGTGTTGATGATGCCTACCGGAAGCCCCCATGTGCTGGGCTTCACATTGGTCAAGCAGGCTGTGGGGCAGCATAGTGTCAGGCAGCTCGGTGGTCCCTGGTCCTCTGGCACGCAGCAACCCTGCCACTTCCACACCCTCCTTCCTGTAGCCTACCCACATTGCCTCAGAAGTCTAGGGACGGTGGAGCCTAACCAGGGTCTGGGGTCCCTTATAGTCTCTGAGTACCCGCAAGGCTGGTTGGGCACAGATTGGGGTCCCCCTAGTGGTGAATATGGGACCCCTTCCTTCCAGGGACACTGACTCCCCTATACCCACAGCCTCTCCCCTGTCACTTGCCAAGGGCCAAGGGCCCTGGGGAAGGCTTGGCAGGTGTGGCTGCTCTGACCTGCCCTCAAAGGAGGGGCAGGGTTGAGGCTCTGGCCCAGTCAGGTTGGGCCAGGGGGCTGGACTGGCCCTGCCCCATGTACCTGCTCAGAGCTGGAAAAGAAGAGAGGTATCAACCAGGGCAGAGGCTTTGAGAAGGGCATGGAGAACCCAAGCACCACTGCCACTCTCTGGGCACTGGACTCCTTTATCCACGGTGCTGCCATCACGCTTGCAGCCCCCTGCCCAGCTCTGCCTTTTGGCCCTGGCTCCTGCAAGCACCGCCGTGTCCCTGATGGCTGCAGCCTCGAGCCACAGGACCCAGATCAGAGCTGGCCTGAGTCGTCCTGGGGAGAAGAGGTGAGAGCCGGAGAGGTGGGGCAGGCTGCTACCCCATCCCGCCTGGCACTGTGCTTTAGAGACCGCTCAGGCCCTCCCCAGAGCCCAGGAAGGCCATCGTGGTTGCCCCAGTCCTGACCCCAGCTGGCTATGCTAGAATTCTGCAGGACTGGACAGGCCGAGGGTGTGGTTCTAGGGACAGAAAGCAGGAGAGAGCAGC